GAGGAGGGATGACGAGGGTCAGGATGGCGATGTGGGAGAGGAGTGCGGTGATGAGGGGGACTAGTTCTGACGAGGATGGTGAGGAGGCGCGAGGAGGGAGAAAGAGGGTCAGGATGGTTCTGAGCAGTCAGAGAGTGATGGGGGCGAGAAGGTTGATTATGACCATGACGACGATGATGATGTTCATGATGATGCTGCTGCTGATTCCGATTACACCGCTTCGAGGATGCAGCGGCCTGAGCGAACTGCGCCGTGCATTCGCCCGCCAGGCCGAGCGAAACCACTGGACCCAGTGCTGGCGCGAAAGGCGCGGCCCCCGCGGAAGAGCCCCGCCCATGGACGAGAACGGGCAGGGGACCTGAGCCCAACGCCCTGACTTCGGCCATGGTGCAGGACGCACGGGCTCAGTTGGTAGAGGAAGCAAGTCTGCATGAGCATGCGCTCTCGGTAATTCGCGTGGGTTTCTTGGATCGGCGCTGGGCCCACCTCCCTGGCGCGAGGAGCGCGCCAGTGGCGGCGCCGGAGGCGCCGCCAGGGGGGTCCAGCGCAGATCCAAAAGGTTCGCTCGGACCTCCGACAGTGCATGTGTATATCGATCTGTTCTGCTTCGACCAGAAGGAAAGATGCACTGGCTCAGTCTGACTAGCTGCTGCCTCCGGGGCCGACACAGCGGCGGCAGCAGCGTTGATTGTCTGCCACTTGGCGGATGGAGGGGAACGGGTCCTGGATCCCACGACTTTTCCCCAGTTTCCAATTTGTATCCATACATGTCTCTGCGCACAAAAACGTGGCACGCCGTTCAAATCTTGGCGCTCGATAGTTCGGACACTGGTCAGACATCGCGTTCTTCAATGCTGTGAAAGGTGCTGCCGGGATTTGGGCATCCTGCGCCTGGGCCAACCATGTCATCTCAGAATTGAAGTCGCGCCGACCACACAAACACCGACAGCAGGAACGGTCAATTTATTATTGACGAATCTTGTGATTGTTTTTTGACGACCTCCGGGTTCTGCGAGGCCGAGAGCGGCCTAAAACCTTCAGGGCACGTTTTGTTCCGCCTGCGGCCCTCGAGCTTGGAGCTTCCGACCCCTTCCCCCAGGGGCAGGCTCGCGCCCCAGGTCAACGTTGTTATGCCCACTTGGCCCCCAGGGGGCCGCCATGGAGGTAACGCGCCCCGCTGGGCCTGCTTCGCGGCGAAGTCCAGCCGGTTTCGAGGGGCGAACGTATCCAGATCCACGCCCTCACGGTCCAGACTCCTGGGTGCGAACCCGTCGACACGCGGCCGCACAGGTACAGACGGCGCGGGGCATCCGCGAACAGAAGACGACCCGTGTCCATGGGGCCGCGGCCCCAGGACGCCCGGCCCGCGGGGCCGTGGACACGATGTGGAGGCGGCCGGGGGCCTCTAAACTGGAGGGGCCCCGAGACAGTCCGTCAAGACGGGGGGGGGGCACTGGCCAGTCCGCTCAAAATCGGTCCCCGCCACCGCCCTTTTGTCCGTCTGGCTCTGTTTTTCACCCCAGATCCGTTCTCGGTGGCCCTGGGGCCCGAAAGCGGCACCCGAGGTTGAACGGTGCGCTCGCGCCATATCTGACGTCCCACCCTCCCACCCATCCATTCCCATTGCGCTGAGTGTTTCCACAGATCCCTTCCAATTGTGCTGGTTTTGTTTATCCGCCGACGCGTGTCGTACCAGACCTGAAACTCCAAACGGGACAAAATCGTGCCATGCGCAACCAGAAAAATGGAACTGCGTACGGAGCAGGAGGAGGAGGAGAAGGAGGAGGAGGAGGAAGAGGAGGAGGAAGAGGAGGAGGAGGGGGCGGATGAGCAGGAGGAGGAGCGGGAGGAGAAGGAGGAGGAGGAAGACTGGGCCACCCCAGAGCCCCCAGCCAGAACCAGGTTGTGGATCCTCTCCCGCCCGCGAGCCGCCGCCTCTGTGGCCGAACCCGGCGGCGGCGGCAGCGGCGACCGCCCGACACGCGCCACGGGCCCCGCGACCGCCGCCTGCACGGGGGGCTCCCGCGGCGGAGGCGGTCGGCCTCACAGAGGACAGACCGCCAGCCCCGGCGGCTCGGGGGCGCGCAGACATGTATTAGCGATCCATGGATTTGGCGCGCGGCCGCCAAATCCATGGATCGGGGGAGGTGCCCTCCCCAGAATGCGGCCGGTGCCGCCTCCTTCGGCGGCAGAAATGCGCGATGTCCCATGGAAACGGGATCCGTCGCTGATCCACGCCCCCTTGATCCATGTTCGCGATCGCCTGATGCATGGGGGCGCCCGCGGCAGAGGCGGTCGGCCTCACAGAGGACAGAGCGCCAGCCCCGGTGACGCGTCGGGCGCGGGATCCGAGGTTTGACTGAAGCCCGACGAGGTACAGGCCGCGGAACAAAAACAGGCCAACACTCGTGCCACATTCATCGGTCAACGCCTCCCCCTCCCCCCAGTGTTCGAAATTGGCGGTGTGTCTGATGAGTTGCACTGCGACCGCAGTCTCCGCCGCGCGTGCCAACTTTGCAATTGGCGGAACGGGGGAGTGTCCATTGATTATTTCCCTCTACTGTACGAACCTCGAGGTGGCACCTCGTAAGCCTCGTGGTCTACGGTCGGGACCTTGTGCTAAGCGCTCGGGGATCTTCAGACCTGGGTCAATCCAGACCTGGGTCAGGCAGGCTTTGCAGGATCCTGCAAAATCCTGCAGGATCCCGCGCCCAAGCCCGGGTCAAGGCAGCCCTGGCCCTGCAGGATCCTGCAAGATCCGACGCTCTGACTGACCCCCGTTTGCATTGACCCCCGTCTCAAGGCTCCCGAAGCGCGTCGCGTCGGCGGTCCCGGCGAGACGCCATGACCTGCAAGCGGATGGCGTGTCGGGCCGCTCCGCGGAGCGGGAGGCTGGGAAAGGCTCGGGACGTTGACGCCTGGGGACTGGGAAGTGGGCCAGGCCGAAGCGTGGTGGGCCAGAAGCGGCGGCGCGGTACGCTAAGCCTCGTGGTCTAGACCTCGTACGTGCGCCTATGGTGTACTAGACAAGGAACCGCTGGTCAAAAAATGCAAGGTCTGGAAGCTGCTGGAACGCAGATAGAGACTTGACTACGGACATCACCGCCCCTCATCAGGTAGTAGTAGGGAAGCCTCCAGGGTCTGATGCTTCCTGGGGACATTCCTTGACGAACGCCCCCAATGCAGTCTTGGACGGCAGCTGCCCTGCTCGCGCGCTGGCACCGCAAGCGCGCTGGATTGTCGCAGCCGCTTCTGGTCCTGATGAGCACCTGGCGTGCAGAGCGCATCGCCAGTAAGTATGTGTTCAGATCCGCAATGCGTCAAGGGGTATAGGACACTCAGCTTGTTTTGTTGGCTTGGGGGGGAAAGAGAAAGGGGGGAGAAGTGAGGAGAGAGTGGGAAGGATCTGGAGGAAGGTGCAGGATAATGACAGGGGCAAGGAGACGGACCAGGAGGAGGACCAGGGAGGGGGAAGAGGAGGAGGAGGGAGTGAGGAGGACCGTGGCGCACGAGGAGCGAAGGATGAAGACGGAGGTACGAGAATCAGGAGGACCAAGGGTCCTCGTCCCCCTGGTCCTCTGCCTCCCTGCCCAGGCCAGCCGGCCGTTTGCCCATGACCGTGACGTGTTTCTGTATCCATGCCCTGCGCCCGCATGTCGGCGGCGAGCGAGGGGGGGAACTGCGAAGGAGAAGGCCTTCCCAGAAGCCCTCGCGCCTTCTGGGGGATTTTTTCAATATTCGGGGAAAGCTTAAAATAGCTTCTCAGAAAGCTGGGGGACTTCCGAACATTCTGAGGAGGCCTTCTCCTTATCACTTCCCCCTCGCTCGCCACCGAGCATGGTCAGCAAGGCAAGGCTGTTGCCAGCCCCGCCATGCACCGCCACACCACTGCTGTTCTGCCGTGCACTACCGCCGTCAACAGCAATTGAACAATGACAGTGTTTCCTGGCTGCTCCACTCTCAGGGCCGCCACTGTCAGGCACAGCGTGCTTCTGCTTAGCCTGGGTAGCCCGTGCCGTTCTGGTGAACAGGGCGAGCTCGTCGGGAGAGGGTAAATTGCGACAACGGCGGCTCTCCCGCCCAGTCCAAACCCGCTCAAAATCGGCCCTGGGGCTGGACCCCTCGCAGTCCATACATCCCGCTTTGTCGACGCGGATCCAGCCGTGGCGACGAGAAGCATCCCGGAGTTCTAGGAAGGTTGAAGAACGGCAGGGGGTGCCGCCGATGTCTCAACTGGCCCTGCTCTGAGGCTCGTGCGCCTACCTACGCAGAGCGGCTGGTGTACCGAGGGCGGCTCGGTCTCCTATCTACACAGAGCGACTCCCATCCTACACGAGTGCCCGTTTGGCGAAGACGACCCGTGCCCTTCTGGCACCGTCAGCGCCCTCTTGGTGAAAATGACGCGCGGGAGACTGGGTGCGCCTGCCAGTGACTTCGCCAGTGACCGGCCACAAAGACATCCTCCAGACGAAGGGTCTGATCAAGTGATCAAGTAAATCTACGCAGGTATCCACAGCGTTTCTCCCCGACAAAGCAGCCGCCGCCACCACGCCTCCTGCACTCTCGGGCGGCCATGCATGGGGCCCGCGCCGTGACCATCGGCGCCTACACTGATTTTAGGGGCAACGTTCGGGGGGGGGGGACCGGCTCAGGGGGGGAAACGTCGAGCTGGACACGGCGCTACATCGGCGATATGTCTGCGATGGGCCCCCGATGGTGAATCCGCGCGTTCCTGGGCGGGGTGGGCTATCGGGTCCTTATCGGCGGTGGGTGGGCGATTGGAGGTTGAGGCGTCGCCCCTCTGAGCCTCTCCCCCTTGCTGTTTCCGGATAATAACTCAGGCCTCCAGCGGCCGTTCGGGACGATCCAGGCACCCCCTCAACGCTCTCGGCGAGGCGCAGCTGCTGGAAGGCACCCCGAGGCTGAAAAACAGCACAGAACCAACGAACGTGTCCGAAAACCTCGAACCTGGACCCCCCCTTGGACGCAGCCCCTGATGATCAGGGTGTCCCCGCCGCAGCGGCGTCCGCTGCCCGCTGCAGCAGCGTCCGCAGCACCGCGCGCGCCGCGAGCAGCGCCTCGCCGTCGGCCTCCGCCTGCCGCTGCAGCCCCTCGAGGTACCCGATCACGCGCGCGTGCTGCCCGCGCCGCGCCATGTCCAGCGGGGTGCGCCCGTCGAGGGCCTGCGCGGCGGCGTCGGCGCGCGCGCGCACGAGCCTCTGGACCTGAGCTGATGTTGAGAACGCTGGACTTTTGTTTTCGCTCTGAGCTCGTCTTTCTTCCGCCCACCAAGACAAGATGAACAAAAGTACGGCTGCCCAACACAGAAAAGCAAACAACGGCAGCACCAACAACGGAACCAGACCGAAAACAGCGCGAGCGAGAATCCCAAGACGAGACGAAACAAACTGATCCCCCTACGGAAACGAGCATGCCGATCTTACAGTCGGACCTAGGCCTGACGAACATCCCTCGAGAACATGGGACCCTCCGTCGGCCAGAACGAACAGAACATCCAAGGATGCCCTCTCCAGAATGCACAAGAGCATCCAACAGACACGAAGAGCACAAAGGCACCCTCCCCGAACCGACCTCGATCTCATACCTCGGTCCGACTGTAATAAGGGAACGAAGCATGACATAAGCATAAAAACTCCGCGCGGATTTCTCGGATCCGCGCTGGACCCCCCTCCCTGGCGCGCTCCGCGCGCCAGGGGCGGCGCCGGAGGCGCCGCCAGGGGGCCCATTGCGCCGATCCGAGAAATCCGCGCGGACCTCCGAGTTGTTGTGTTTCTGTGATTGCTCGTTCCCCATCTGACGGAACGCGCCCCTCCTCCTGCCGTGGAGGGTCGCTCTGCCGCTCTGCCTGGCCACACGAGGGCCGAAGGCTGGAGGAGGAGGAGGAGGAGGGAGGAGGAGGAGAGGAGGAGGAGGGAGGAGGAGGGGGAGGAGGAGGGGAGGAGGAGGAAGGAGGAGAGGAGGAGGAGGAGAGGAGGAGGAGGAGGAGGAGAGGAGGAGGAGAGGAGGAGGAGGAGGGAGGGAGGAGGAGGAGGAGGAGGAGGAGGAGGAGGAGGAGGGGAGGGCTTCTGACACCATCCCCGCTCGGGACCGCGCCGAGGTGGCCCTTCAGCGCGGCCATGTGGCAGGGCGTCCGGCCGCCGAAGTCTGCGGCGCCCGCGTGGGCGGGGCCGTGCTGCAGGAGGAGCTCCTGCGGAGAGGAGCGGTTGTCCCAAAGCAGCCGAAGCAGAGGAGGAGATAGGAGGGAACGGGGGGGGACGAAAAGGAGGGCCCAACAAACGTCTCGGGCCGTCGCGGGCCAGGAGGAATCCCAGCGAGGGCGCGGCCAGCGGAGCTGTGGACGTGGCGCGCCGGGGCGAAACAAAGAACAAAAAAACAAAGCGAACAACAGAAAACAAAAAACCAGGCCGACAGTCACAAAAAACAAAAAAAAGGAACAACAAAAAACAAGCAACAAGCCGACAGTCACAACAAAACACGGCCGACAGTCACAGGGCTCTTTGTGACAGGTGGCCGACCAGGAGGCCAGTGCGCGCGTTGAGTTCGCAACATCCACGGTTTGAGTGATATTTTGCGCGCTACATATGGCTTCCATGGAGGCTGGCTGGGGCGGTCGGAGGCTGCGTGCGTGCGCCGACGCTCTCTTCTCTGTGCCGCTCACCGCAACAATTCTGGCCACAAGCTGAGTTGTGACAGGATCTAGACACCCGTTTACTTTCTGCAGGAGTGCCAGCTTGAATCGAAAGGCGTTGCATAAACAGATCGTCGAGGATTTTGTTTGCTTGAATCGTCGAGGAGCTTTTTTTCCGGAGGCCAGCGCGCGCCGAGGACGGCAGGGAACGGGATAGGTATGGAGTTGACTGGCAAGGTTCGATGGTTTGAAAGGCTTTGATGGCTCTGCAGGCTTGGAAGCCTCCAGAGACCACTGGGTCCTCGAAGCCCCCTAAAGCCTTCAAAGCCCATCAAACAGGGAAATGTTAAGGCTTCAAAGGGCAGCCAGCGGTAATCTAGTGGGCCTGTTCCTAAGTCCCAGGGCAAGCGCACGAGGGCCGCTGACCTCCGCACGGCTATTTTATTCATCTGCGCAGAATTATGAATAACCTCTTTGCTTTTCGAAATTATGATTTCTCGCGGGCCATCTGCGATCAAGCGCGGCCGCGGCGCGCCGCGATGTGAAAGTCGCGGCGGCGGCGATAGGCAACGATACGTTCTGCGCGCGTTGTGTGACTACAATTCCAGGGCGGTCCGCGACTGTAGAATAATCGCCTGGGTCGACGGGGCCCGCGCGGGGGAGCGGCGGCAGGAAGTCGGGACAACGGGTCCGATCATCACCAAGGCTGCGAAAGTTCCGCCCCAGGGCCACAAATAACCTGAACCGCGCGCAACCCTGGATCTAGGGGGCATTCATGTAGAAGAACGGATGGAAACGCAACTGGCGCGCGCGTGCACGGGAACACATGCTTCGCGAGTTCCGCGCAAGAGCGGAGAAACGGCCGTCGCGACCCTGACGACCATTGGCACGTCAAGCCGACGCGCCAGTCCACGAGAGAGCGCAGGAGCGCGTTGCACATGTATGTGGCACGTGGTACATGTGGTGTAACAGTGATGTAACATTTGCGCAAAAGTGGTGCGCTAGTGGTGTAGCAGTTGGCGTAAAAGAGGTGTGAAAGTGTTGAACAAGTGGCATAAAAAGTATTACAAAAGTAAGTGGTGTACAAGTGGTGTAACAATGGTGTAACAGTGGTGTACAAGTTTCGGGTTGTTGATTTCGTGTCTTGTCTTCTGGTGTGTTCCCTGGCGCGGTTTCCAATCCCAGTGCCCCCCCAGAAATGCATCGATTCATTCCAATCCTAGTCCCAGGCGGCTCCGCCGTACTCCTGGGGGCGCGGGCGGAATCTCCGGGAGGCCCTGGCGTGCGCAAATTGCGGGCTAGGGTACATGTGGTGTATATGTGGTGTACAAGGTGTGTAAAAGCGGTGTAAAAGTTATGTAGCAGTGGCGTAAGAGTTGTATGACAGTGGTGGAACATGTACAGCAGCGGTGTAACAGCTGGTGTACAAGTGATGGGAAAGTGGTGTAAATTGTATAAATGGTGTAAATGCTGTGTACATGTTGGGTATGTATCGGGCCCCTTGCCTGCCCTCTCCAGCCGCCTGAGGCCCCGCCCGCCTGAGGCCCCGCCCCGCCCCGCCCGCCTGTCTCCCTAATTACAGCTGTGCGTAGCCCGCCTAACTTTTAGCGGAAGAGGTTCGCTCTCGCCCCGCCGACCAAAAATGTGTCGGGCCCCTTCGCGTGCTCAAAAATGGAACCACAGTTCGCGGTGCGCGGTCGCGACTCGCAGCTCGGCGAGCGGAGCGGCGCGCGGCGCGGCTCGACGCGGCGCGAGGTGCGGGACGGCATGCCGCTCCCCGAAGACAGGCGAGTTTGCGCGGTCGGTCGCCCGCGCGGAACGGCGCGGCACGACGGGGAGAGCAGCGCGACGCGGCGGGACGGCGAGCCGCGCGCCACGGCGCGGCGCGGCCCGCGGACTCGCGAATTGGTACCGTCGCCAACGGGTCGGGTGGCGCTCGACGTGGCAGGGAGCGACGCGCGGCGCAGCACGGCGCACCGCGCGGCACGGCGCGGCGTGGCGCGGCCAGCGCGCAGCGTGGCGCCGGCAGGCCCGCGGGCTCGCAAGCTGGTCGGACGCGGCCCCCCCATAAGAAGTGCGCCGCGGAACTCCTCGGGCAATCGCTGCTCGAGGCCTCTAACAGCAAGCGCAGCAAGGTGCGTTCAGACATTTCTAATCACCAGGCGGCAACGCACCGCGCCGCCGGACTTGACATTTCCTTCTACGGAGATACGGACATGCTCACGTGCCGCCCTTGGCAGCTTTACCACAGGGAAGCCATAAAGCCTTGCAAGGCTGTAGGGCTTCCCTGTCCAATAGGCGGTCAGGGCTTCAAAGACCTTTTGGAGGTCCGCGCGCCCCGTGCTGCCAGAAGGAACGCCGCACAGGGAACGAAGGGGCTCTTCTGGCCACGGCGGGCCCCTGCCACGAGAAGGCTCCCCGGCCCAAACCGAAGGAACGGACCAACGTGGCCATGGGGTCCGCACCTCGGCTGCGTTCCCCAAGCGGCACTTGCGTTTGGGGTTCTTTCGACTACACGCAAGAGTGACCCTGGGTAAGAGTGACCTTTGGTGCGCGGTTCATTGGGGGCCGCGGGGGGAATCAAACACGAGCGCGCAAGACGCGAATACCGCATCGCGTTCGGCGATCGGGGTATCCCAGTGGGCCCGCACCATGGGTCACTCCGGTGAAGGGTCACTACGCTGCTCTGATCAGGTACTCGGTTGGTGCTCCCCGTTTTCGCCACGTTGCGCCCCGTGCCGCCCCGTGGGCGCCTCGTGGGCGCCCGGCGCTTGGGGGGTCTGCCGAAGCTGCGCCTCGTTGCCGCCCATGCCGACTCGTTGGCGCCTCGGGGACGCCCCGTCCGCTGGGCAGGTATGCCGAGGTTGCGCCACGTTGCCGCCCGTGCCCCCTGGTGGGCGCCCCGTTCGCAGGGGGGGGTATGCAGAGGTTGCGCCACGCTGCAGCCCGTGACGCCTCGTGTGCGCCTCGTGGTCGCCCCGCGCCTGGGGGGTATGCCGAGGCTGCGCCACGTTGCCGCCCGTACCGTCTCGTGGGCGCCTGGTGGGCGCCCCGTTCGCTGGAGGGGTATGCCGAGGTTGCGCCACGTTGCTGCCTTGTGGGCGCCTCGTGAGCGCCCCGCGCTCTGAGCTTACGCGACATAGCTTGCACCACATAGCTTACACCACATAGCACTTCACGGATTGCACAGCGCAGCTTGCATCACATAGCTCACGCCCCATAGCTCCCACCTCCAGCTCACACCACCTAGTTTAAACGCCATAGCTCACACTTCACAGCTCTCACCTCATCAGCTCGCACCACATGGTTTTCTCCACATAGCTTACACCGCACAGCTTTCACCTCCATCGTGGAACAACGCACTGCGTGGGGTCCATGCTGGCTAACACGGTAGTATGCTTTCTTTTCTCGAGCTCCATGATAGGCATGCGGCCCTTCGAGGCGACCAGGTGCAGCGGGGCGGCCCCGTAGCTGTCGCGGCGGGAGGCGTCGGCGCGCAGCAGGAGCAGCAGGCCGCAGACCTCGAGGTTACCGCGGGAGGCAGCCCGGTGCAGCGGCGTGCGGAAGTAGCAGTGCTCGAAGACGCAGTTCACGTCTGCCCGCGCCTCGGCGACGGGCACCTCCACGAGCGGCGAACATGTCCGCATCCAAGCCCTCGCGGTCTGGACCCCGGGGCGAGCCCCCGTGGAGACGCGATCGCGAGGATAGACGCTCCGCGAGGGGCGTCCGGCAGAACACGCCCCGTGCCCCCATGGGGTCGCGGCCCAAGGGCTCGGCCAGCGGGTGGCCGCGGATACGGTTCTTCTTCCCCGCACAGTCTCAGATCTGACGCCGGTGAATACTGCAGCATCACGACGAAGATCACCACCGGAGCCCTGGACCCCATCTTCCTGCGCCACATTGCCAGCTGGATCGATCTGTGAGGGCCCCGAAACCGGGCGAAAACGCCCGGCTCGACAAAATGGAGAGACCAGGTTCTCGTGGCACGGGCACCAGCAGATCGGCGGCGCCGCGCTGCACGACGAGCTGCAGGGCCTCCCGGTGCCCCTCCCGGGAGTGGCTCCTGCGGGGACAGCAAGCGATCACAACACCGAATCAAGGACACCCTGGGGGATGCCCTGCGCATGCCAAGAATCGTCAGAACACCGGCGCCAACTTACTGCTGGTTGTGGTCGATGTGGCGTCCTGGACGGCAAAATCGACCACAACCACAACCAACGCGTTGATGTCGATGTCGGTGGGTTCTTCCCCGGGGAGCCTTCCCGAAAAATCAGCTTCGTTGTGGTTGTGGTTCCTTGTTCACGTTCGTTTTATGGTAGTCGATCTAATCCGGTAAATGGTGGCAGATAGTGGCACCCGACTAGCGGCCAACAGCGGCACACGCCCCGCTCCAATCGTCCACCAAACAGCCCCTACTCTCCGCCAGTAGCCGCTAAACGCCCCCCCAAAAAACCTTCGGTGAAAGTCAAAGCTTACATAGGGACAACCCAAACATGTGATGTCCTGACTTCTCCAGCGGGGTCCCCGAAGTCACGCCCCTTTCCCTGGGACTGGTTTTTCGCCTTTCGCGTTCCGCACATCCTCAGTGGGGTTCTTGTCTTCTCTGGACACTCCGCTCACTCCTCCTCCTCCTCCTCCTCCTCCTCCTCCTCCTCACCGCCCCTCTTCTTACCACCACCAACATCAGCACACACACGCACACATTCACACGCATTCGTTCGTAATCATCAGCACACACACGCACTCTCTCACACACAGTCATTCATTATGACCATCGTCCTCATCATCAAGTTCGTTCATCTCCTTATCAGCGTCAACTTCATCAACCCACCACCACCATCACTATCATCACACCTTCATCACTACCACCATCCCATCGTGATCATCGACCAACAGGGACTCGAGTCTGTGAGTGGAATTCGAGGAAATCTCAAGCGGGAACCCATCCCTATGGAACCCGCACCTCATGTTCGAACCCGAGCGGGTCAGCGGGACCTTGTAGTAACTGCCGTCACTCTCCTCAAGCCTGACTCTTGACGATGTCTCAAGCGGGAACCTCGTGTGTGAGTGGATTTCGACGAACTCTCAGGCGGACCCCCCCCCTTTGGATCACGCACTTCATGTTCGAATCCGAGCGGGTCATCGGGTCCCCGTAACTGCAATCATTTTCGGGTTCCCCGAGCCTGAATCTTGACGAAGTTTCAGGCGGGAGCCTCGTCTGTGAGTGAATTTCGAAGAAGTCTCAAGCGGGACCCCCCCCCCCCCCGTATGGGCCCTGCACCTCACGTTCGAATCCGAACGGGTCATTGGAAACCTGTACCTGTCGTCACTTTCGGGCTCCTCAGGTCTGAATATTGATGAAATTTCGAGCGGGAACCTCGATAGCGAGTGGATTTCGGCGAAATCTCAAGCGGGAGCCGCCTCCCTATGGGTCCCGCACTTCATGTTCGAATCCGATCGGGTCATCCGCTTCTGTAAATATCATCATGCTCGGGCTCCTCATGTCTGGATGTTGACGAAATCTCAGGCGGGAGCCTCGTTTGTGAGTGGATTTCGAGGAGATCTCAACCGGGAGCCCCTTCCCTATGGGTCCCGTACTTCATGTTCGAATCCGAACAGGTCATCGGCAACGTGTACACGTCAACATTATCGGGCTCCGCAGGTCTGAATGTTGACGAAATCTCAGGCGGGAGCCTCGTCCGTGGATGGATTTCGAGGAAGTCTGAGGCATCAGATCGCGGACTTTTTGACCGGGGAGCTCCCTTGCTTCGCGAGGTTTGGTCTTGAGTGAGTTGCAATTTGGTTTGTAGAACTGGCAAGCAAATCTATAAACCTGCCGAGTCATACAATAAGTCAGGTAATCACACCCTAAATGTTTAGTAATAGCGTGGGAAGTACCATCTAGATATAACAACTCGCTTGCTTTATTGAATCATATATAACTCAGTTGCCTCACTTACGCCAGAGTTACTAGATTGATTTATGAGTCGTCTAAAATAGTTATAACTTGTTATAATATACTTATCAAAAGTTAGCGACGATTGCGAAAAAGTTAGGAAAAGTTAGGAAAAGTTAGGAAAAGTTAGGAAAAGTTACCCCGCAGAATACATTCCCCACCACACACACACACGCACGCACACGCGCGCCCTCGGGCCTCGTTTGACAGCCGTTTTGGTTCAGGATGGACCCCCCCAAGAAAAAACCGAAAGTCATCCAGGCGCTGCAGGCTGCAGGGATGAAAGCATCAGGCGCCCAATTGACTCGCATCCTAAAGAACTTGTGCGATGAGGAGACTGTGGACACTCCCCTCGCAGATGTGAATGCGTGTGTGCGGAAGTACGTGTCTGAGTTGTCCACGCCTTATGGGCCAGTGATTCAAACTTTGGATTTACCTCTGAGCGACGGTACCTCATATTCTTGGCCCGTGGCAAACCCATTGTCATTGACGTATTATCTGTGCAGACAATCTCCATCATACGCGAGGTTTATCAGAGAACATATTGGTGGAAAAATATCAAAATGTGCTTTCTGGGGAGACGAATCGACGGCGGGCAACCAACTCAGGCCCGATTTTGCAACAAAACACGTTGCAGTCTATTTTACACGTGCCTGCGGCGCGGCCCGCCACTCCACCAGTCCAGACGACGGTGACTGCGACTGCGACGACGGCGACGACGACGACGACGACACGTTGACGACGACGGCGACGACGACGATGACGGCGAGGACGACGACCCCGACCACGACCATGACCACGAGTTCTCTGGCTTTGCAGCTCTGGGGTTCTGGGGTGTCGGAGTTTTGTTTTGTTCGCGTTTGGGAGTTTGGGGTCTCTGAGGCATGGGCTTGTCATGTCTAAGTGTTCCCGTAAATGGGGGCCTCCCGCCTTAGCGCGCCAGGTGGCGCGGCGGCGGATGTATGGACCGATTTACCCGAATGGTGGCGTTGCACGGATCAGGGGTGGACTCCGATAGGGTTCATTCGGTATTCCCAAATGCAAAAGGTTCGCGGCGGGTATTCAGGATTGCTCAAACATATATTTCATATGATGTTCCTCGGCAGGGAAAATCTGGACATCGGCATCGCTGTTCCCGATGGCGATGGCCGTCTGACTGCAATCAAATCAACGATATCAGCGATGATTCAAGACGAGAAGGCACACAAGGAGTGCTACGGGGTAAAAGGGGCAGGAGGAAATTCATGTTGCGCTGCGTGTAAGAATGTCTATTACGGGTTGAACCTAGACCTTTCTCCAGACGAGTACATAGGACGCGCCGCTGTGATGATGCCGCACAGATTTGACAAGCACACCGACGGTTCGATGTTTGAGATGGCAGACAAGATAAAGGCAACGTACGATTTGTGGCAGGCGGGAGGTTGCACAAAGGGCGCATTTGAGCTGGAGGAGAAATCATGTGGTTTAACATTTGACCCAGATGGTGTGATGTGGTGCCAGGTGCTCCGCCCCATTTGGAAACCTGCGAGTGCATTCTATTACGATTGGATGCATACGCTGGCAGCCAGCGGAGGAGTCGCACAATATATGGTCAATGGTTTCTGCCTCGAGCTTGTGCGAGGGGACCGCGTTAGCATGGAGCAGCTCGACGAGTACGCGCGGGGGTTCGCGGAGCCGAACAGACACCTGATGAGGCCACTGCCAGCGAAGTTTTTTAGCAAGCGCATTGTTCACAAGGTCGGTGCGCATTGCAAGGCATTTGCGGGGGAGTGCATCACGGCAGTGGCAATACTCAGCTACGCAGATGCCTTCGGCCGCTCGCCCGCCCGACCCCCCTGGAACAACCAGCAATGCGCATGCGCGAACAAGCAAACATGCATCAAACAAACGCGCAAACGATCGCACGAACATCAAGCATCAACCGACAAACGAACAAGCATACACACACACATCAAACAAACATCCACCCTGCATGCCGCGACTGGCGGCTGCGGATTTCAGCAAGGCCGTGCTTGACAGCGACCCCCCCGTGCTCCAGGAACACAGCCAGTGCATGCAATTGATGGGGGTGATTTTCAACATCTTGTGTTCGGGGGACGCCGCCGTGCCGCTAGCGCCGAGGCTCAGAACCCTGTTCCAGCTGCATCACCAAGCAATGCTGAAAATTTACGGGCGCCGAGTTTGCAAAGTGAAGAGCCACCTCCAGCGCCACATCCCCGACAATCTAGAATCATTTCAGCTGAACCTATCATGTTTCACAAACGAAAGGAGGAACAAACTCCTCAATGCAGTGGCCGAGCACACGGCCTCCCTGGGTGACCCAGCGCGCGCCATCATATCTAGGATAGTTCTTGACATGGAGCATAAAATCAGTAGGGCTGCATTTGTTCCCAACTTTTTGATCGAGCCAGTGACGGAATCCCAATGCCTTTTGCATCATTTCCCTCGCGACCGTCGGCCCGCGAAAGTTCACGTCTCTCGGCGATTGCACTGGGGGCGCGGGATATTGCGCGACGGCAGCGTCGTCTCGTACATGGCTCCCTCACGCAGCTTGGGATTCGCTGTGGTCGTAGGGTGTTTGGATGCGAGGTGCAGTTGCCATCCCAGCGTGCCCGAGTGCTGGATTATCGCGACTGCGTGCGTGCAGTCGCCAACCGATGTTTCGTTGTGGGCGCCTGGGGAGGACCGCGTCGCGCTTGCCGTTGGGCAGGTTCACGACGTTCACTTGGTCGTGCGTGTAGGCAGTTTTATGCGCCCTCTGGAGAAGTCATTGTGACTGCGATTCGGGCGGCGGTTGATTGGGAGAGGGGCGGCGGAGGAGGGATCGACGAGGGGCGACTCATCTGTTGGGAACGCGTACCCACGTTTTTTTGGAGTTGCGTTGGCGCGCTGGCATTCGGCGGAGTCGCCGTGCGCGGCCGCCCGACCATCGCCAGCAGGGGCTCGCCATGCGCGTGCGCGTGTGTGCCGACTGGCCGCGCCGATCATCGCCAGCAGAGGCTCGCCCTGCAAGCGGCAGTGACTGTTATATCAAGTGCTGAAAACATGCACGGCAGCGGTGGGCTGGGGAGGGCGACGGTTAGATTTGGGGCCGCATTGGGGTGATGGTTAGGTCGGGAATGAGATGGTTGAGAGCGGGGCCATGGTAGGCATGGGCGGGGGGTGAGGACGAGGAAGGGGTGCGGGAGGAGAGGAGCTGTGTTCGTTGTGGGTCCAGTGGAGGGGTGGAGAGGGGGAGGATGGCGAGCCAGCGCAGTGGGTCATGGAGTTTGGAGGCGGTAGCGGCATTGCTTGTGCCCCGCAGCCGAATGGCCAGCAGCCGTTGGCCATCGGCGCGTCGGCCGAGGCCGCCATGCCGAGGAGCCTCCTGCCCGACGACTGGTTCGGGCCAGAGGCGGACGGGCCGATCGCGCAACTCCGACAGTCGGTCCAGACGGGCACGTTGACGGCCGCCCAATCCAATGCCTTGTTCGAGGAGACTTTGGTCAAGTGTACCATACGTGACCGCGGCCGTGGGAGAGGGCGAGAGCTGTTCCTCGTCGGCAGGACTACCCGCCTGGACTGGGGGAGGTTTCGCGCGATGCAGTGCATCGCAGAGAACGGCACGACGGGTGGCCGAAAACCCAGAGAGGAGCAGGGCCAGCAGAAGAAGTCGCGCGCGTTGCACGCGCCGTCGCAGGTCGC